GCCTCTCCTCGGGAGAAAGATGTGGCAGTCTGCTTCTGTAAAGATTTACAGCCTTGGAAACTTTATGGGGCAGTTCTGCTCTGTCCTACAGGGTTGCTGAGTTGAAATGGACTTGACGGCAATGGGTTGATTGGTCGGATGGGTGGGTGATGCAAATGGATAAACACTGGACTGAATAGCTGGAAGGTTGGCAGTTCAAACCCACCCAGAGGCACCTCAGAAGGCTGGTGATCTGCTTCTGAAAGGTTACAGCATTGATAACCCTGTGGAGTGCAGTTCTACTCTGAAACACGAGGTCCCCATGAGTCAAAATCAACTCAATAGCAACTAACAACAACAGCAGCATATATTTAAAGAAAAGTTACCCTTTTGAAATTCTTAAAAGCTCTTAGAACTGAATCACCCTTTCAGGATGTCAATAGGTGCTACCTGTTGTGAAAAGGGTGGAGGGGAAACAACTGATAGGTACATAGCCCTCTGCTGCTGGCTCTTGCCTTTCTGGGAGCTAGAGCTCATGGGGTAAGAGAACACGTCTCTCATTTTAGTGAGGGCTGTCACTGAGAACTTCCATGAAGTTCTGTTGGGCCTGTATTTTTTAATTAGTACATACTGTTGTTCACAGCTCCTCAGCTGAGGAGATCAGATTTGGATTAAGATCTGTCGTCTTTTGTTCGGACTATAGGCCAGAATTGCCAAGGTGGAACTTCCAGCTGTGGCTGAGCGAAGAGGTCAGCAAATTCTTTTCCAAAAAAAAGGAATTATAAAGCTGGACAAGATAACATTCTGGTGCTCTGGAAACAGAACTAAGGTATACAACGTGAGAAGCTTTTTAAAAACTACAGCTTGGAAAACTGCAGCACTTAAGAAAAGGGGGTGAGGCATTCTTGTCTGGTGTTACTCCCATCCCCCACCAGCGCAGGTGGCTTGAAGGTTTGGCCAGGGCAGGACAGGCTGTGAGGATCCCAGAGGTCAAAGGGGATGCTGGATGGGTTCAAACTGCCAACTGTCAGTGCTAACCAAGCGCAAACTGTTTGCACCACAGAACTCCAAACAATGCCCTCTCCATGCCAGTGACTAGTAATAACCTTTTTCAGGAGCGAGCCAGAAGATCTGGCTGAGGACTGTCCTCAGGACAGGCAGGTCCTGCCCTGAGGTGGAATGTTGGTTTCTCCCGTTTTCCCACCCACCTTGTTTATACATTTTCATCACCCTCATCAACAACTACCACATCTCACATCTACTTCTGTCTCTATTTGTCTCTTGTGACTGGGCAGAGAACTAGTAGCTCTAATGTTTTTCTTGGTGCCAGAACAAAGCTCAGTGCTAGGCATACAGTAGAAGTTCCAGGTTTGCTGAAGTGAACTGATGAGCTATTTACCATTCAAGGAACACTTAAACACAGATAGCAGACATGAGACACGCATGATAGATGATTTTCTGTCACTTCCTACCCACCTGTCACTTCCCACTGGAGACAGGCAACAGAAGAGGCAACAGGAAGAAGGAACGAAACCAAGGACTATTACCCAGCTCCACTATGCTGGCACTAATCAAGGCACCCACCACTGTCCGTCAATTTGCCTTACTGTGGTAGCTTGTGTGTTGCTATGATGGTGGAAGCTATGCCACCAGTATTTTAAATGGTGGACAGTATTTTAAAAAGTGGACAGGTTTCCACAGAGATTCCAAACTAAGAATAGGAAGAAAGGTCTGGTGATCTTCTGAAAATTAGCCAATGAAAACCTTATGGATCACAACAGAACAGTGTCCAACTCACTTACTTTGGACATGTCATTCCAAACTAACACTCACTGCCTTCGAGTTGATTCTAACTCATAGTGACCCTACAGGACAGAGCAGAACTGCCCCCATAGGGTTTCCAAGGCTATAAATCTTTATGGAAAGAGACTGCTACATCTTTCTCCTGTGGAACAGCCTGGTGGGTTCGAACCACTGACCTTTTTGCTAGCAGCCAAATGCTTAACCACTGCACCACCCTTGGACATGTCATTAGGACAGCTCAATTGCTGGAGGACATCACGTTTGGTGAAGCAGAGGGCCAGCAAGGGCAAAGGAGACCCTTGGTGAGATGGATTAATTAAAAAATGCAGGTGATCATGATGATGACACAGGACTCAGCAAAATTTTGTTCCGTTGTACATAAGGCTGCCATGAATTGGAGTCAACTCGATAGCAGCTATCTATCTCTGTCTCACCAAGGTGCTTCCATATGAGTTTTAATCCTTAAAACAACTCTATTACCTAGGGATAATTAATATGCACAATGAAAACTGGGGGTGGGAGTGGGTGGTGGGTGGAAGGGGCTGTCCAAGGAAGACAAGCAGGAAGCTGGAATATAGGCAGTTGGGTCTCAGACTCCAAGCCCATTCATTTGCTCAGAAGCTTGAGTGGCTAAAGAGTGCAGGCTTTGGGGTAGGCATTAGGAATGCAATGGACCCCATTCAGCCTTCTTACAGCTTAGAGCTTTAGTGGGGACACAGATGTTAATCAGAGAATCACAAAGATAAAGTGTAATTAAAAGCTGTAAAGTCCCTAGAAGTTCAGTACTCTATCAAGCAGACATCACGTCTCAACAAATACAGATGTTCAGTCATCACTGGAACTGCTTTATCCCCAGTCCTGAAGATGTCACTGTAGATGTTGATGATGGAAAACGTATGATATAGTACTTGTGTATCTCTCATTATTTGGCGAACACTAGTTGTATGAATGTTTGTTTCTGTTCCAATGAGACAACAGCACAACAAAGTCAAAATATGATTTGTATCAGTTTTATTTCCCTATCTTGGCTTCAGTAAGATTCAGAGAACTGACTGACACACACCATAAACGATCACCCATACACAGTATATATACAGTGTTTCTACTTTTTCCTTTTTACTGAACAAGGATACTATCTATCTTTGTTCAAACCGAAGTGCTATATAAATTAACAAAAAGAGTGTGTGTAGGGTCTTTTTATTCTCAGATAGTAAACGTATGTACACCACCACTGGGGGAAAACCACTGAGGAAACACTTGTATCCCACAAGTTAAAAAGTCAAGCAATAAGTACCATTAGAGCACCTCCAAAAAACAGCAGATTTGGAACAATTTGCCAGTACTGTGAAGGAAGTTCCTGGTTTTTCATTTATCACCACCACAATGCGATATTGGAATCGGAGCCCTCTTCACAGTGCAAATATAAAAATGGTCAAAGTCAGGGCTTTATGGCAATCTTTTTCTAAAATATAGTCTATTTTAATATACATGCTATAAAAGTACACTAAAAAGATCAATCTTTAAAGGTCTGTTAAAATTAAGAATGTACTTCTTTACATACAGAATAATGTACACCTGACTCTAAGAGTCTATTTGAGGAAAGCTATTACCGTGACCCCAAATATTTCTAGCTTCATATTTTGTTTATAATAGTATTGATTTTATAATGCCATGTATTCAGTACTGCTCTCCTAATTTTCTGTATGACATTGTCTCACTAATTAATGAAAAATGTGGAGTTAGTCCTGTATCTCCAAGGAGTCCTCACTTGTGCAAATCACTAAGTTTCCTTTTGTTTTTAAACTTTGGTATCCTGGATTCTTTAATCATCAACACTTGGAGCTGCTAACGGGGCAAATAAAAACGAGAGATGTTGAAAATTAACTTGTTAGGTGGCCTGATTTTAAAAGTGATCTTTCCCTCCTGTAATAACATTTCCAATGCCAATTCTCGATTTACCTGGAATGGTGTGAAATAACGTTGACTGAATACATTCAGTGGCAACGAATCAAGGGAACGCATGCCAGACCGAGAAACTAGACTCTCGGTACCGAGTTTAACTACATCTACTGTAATCATGTAGTACACGTGATGGGGCTGCTAATTATAGCTCACACCACGGAACCCAGCCACATCTACAATTCTTTGTTTTTAAACTCTTTACAATGCAAGTCTTTGTTTCAGGCATAGCATTAGAACGAAAACATAACTGAAATTTGTTTATGATTTAAACAAAAATATTTACTCTTTTCATTAGCAAAACATTCTTTAAAATAAATCAATTTCTTGCCTCTGAACATTTAGCCAGGAGCACTAGACAGTTTTTGAAGGTTCAGTGACAACCATTCAATACAATAAAAATGGTTGTAGAGAGCATACAGCAATGGTAGCTTATTTACATTCATTTATAAGAAACTTTATCTCATCTGGTTATAATGTCTCATCCACTAAAGGAAAGGTTTGGCATTCGTGTGCTTTTTGTTCTTGGCGGGAATCACTTCTACTTGATTTAATTTTTTGAAAGAAAAAATAATCACCAATGTCCTCGGATTTTATGACATGATGTGAAAGAGCAATGGGACAAAGATTAGCTGCTAGCAGGGAGCTATTCTGGATTTGGGTCTCCACGCGGACCTTCCTTCTTCCCAGACGAGTCTTCAATGGGAGGGGCAGGGAGTTCGCAGGGGAGGCATTCAGGACTCAGGCGCACAGAGCCTCATCCCAGGATGCGTCACTCTTGCTTGGTCTGGCACCTCCTGCTCTGCACAGTGACCACGCCCTACTCACTATCTCACACACTCACCTTGTTGTGTGTCTGTGGCCACAGAACATCTGGAAGCCAGTTCACAGGGAAATAAGGAAAAGCAGAGAACTCGACCTAGAGGTGGCCCATGCCACACGTCACTGTCTCATGCTGCCTCCTGAGCTACTGTCATCTGTTGAGATCAGCAGGGAGGATCTGTGCATTATGTTCTTCGTAACAGCATTCTCCAGTTTCTCTTGAAAACCTTTTGTCAGATCGTGGTTATTCCAAACAATTTTAACAGAAGTCAAGTTTGCTGCCTGCTCTTTCTAGCAAGCCAATAGCGGTAGAAGCTTCAGCCCCCCTCCTGATTTCTGAACCTACTTAAAAAGTAGAATGTTTTCCCTTGGCAAATAATTACTTCTTTGAAAAGTGGATATCCATTTTCTTTGTTTTTCTTTCTTTCTGTTTTTTGATTCAACTCAGCCCTTCAGAAAATACTTCAGACTAAAAGTGGAGGAAGAATAAGTACAACTGACTTGCTATTGTGCCTCATATAAAACATTTTGCTAGAATTAAGAGTAGCTCCAAGTGCAAAATTAATATTGTGCAAAGGGCACACTACCAGGTGCCATCTTAGGACCTTCTCAATTTACCCATTTCATAGTGTTTGACTGTTTAAAATATAAGTCTTTTAAATTATGAAATCCTAGCAAAGGGAAGGGAATTAACACCAGAAAATATACTTTAGAAAAAGTACAGGATATTTTGCCAGCAATTTTCTACCTTTGATCAAGTAAGTGTTTGTTAAATATTCACAGTAATTTCAGAGAAGAAACATTTGTGTCTGTAAAACTTCAATCTATTGCAAGTTCAACCATTTTTCTGTACAATTACAAAATATCATCTGTCAGTGCCTTTCTGTAGAATTCCTTATTGTCAGTCCTTCCTTCTCTGGATCCAGTTATACCTTCAAGGTGGGCTGCAGGATTCCTTTCTCGATGAGATGAGTCTTCAGGGTTTTATATATATTTAACTGCTGCTCTGGTTGAAGCACCAACAACTGCTGTAGCACTTTGCTGGGATTTGGACCTCTGATAACAAAGCAGAAAAGACAAAGTTACTTTACGAGGGTTACTGGAAGCATATACTCTCAATTTTAAATAAACAATGCCTTTAAGTGCAGAACAGCAATCAGCAATCTTTACAGAACTGAAATAGCTGCCTCTTAATAAGCGCACTTTAATGACTACTGTTAGTGTTAAGAGGAAAAACCCAGAACTGTTCTGCTTTGAGAAGCTTACAGTGAAGATGTGCAAAGCAGCACAAAATGCAGGAACAACACGAGGCAATGGCGGGAGTGCAGATCTAAATTCTGCAGTAATTCTTAAAAGGGCAACCTGAGTTAGACGGGGGATAGACAACCAATCCTGAGATTGGACAAGACACAAAAACGATTCTGTAAGGAAAGGAGCAAAATTCCTGGTGGAGGGAGGGCAGACCAAAAAAAAAAAAAGAGCATAAGAATATAGTTTATATTTTTAGCCTCAAGGAAACTTCAGACAATGGAAGGTCCTTTGTTGAAGAAATATCTCTGGGGAACTATGAATGTTCATGAGACAGAACACAGAAATCCTGAGCCTAGCACTGAAGCCTCTTCCCTGGGATATTTAATAGTTGTCCTAGGCTTTATTCCAAGAAACTCTTAGGTAAACACCTAATAAGGAAACAAAATAAAAGCTGATCTGCTCCCAGAGCAGTCTGAGGGCAGAGGAAATGAGCCCAGGTAGAAGAGCGGTAACTATGGGCGGTGATACAATGCACTCTCTACGCTCCAACATATGTCTCCACAGGCAGTGCAGGGGCCCTACCTCAAGTGGCTACCACTTGGGTAACCTCTTCCCAAATCCCTACTCCTGCTTTCTCTTTCTTTCTTTCAGTGGTGTACCTTAGGATGGAAGAGTTCCCCAACAGGGCTCCTACCCTTATACCTCTCCCTTCTATGACGCTGTTACAGTCATGGGATTTAATTTCCCATCCTCTGACAAACCATTTACAAACTGGAGGTTGCTTGTGTTTCTGTACTTATACTTCTAACAATGCTATTCTGTCAAACTCAGAATGAACCTAATTCAAATCCTAATGTATATTTATGGTTCTTTGCACTTTTTACAATCCACTTGAATACGAAAAACACAGTATGGTTTACTTTTTTTGAGGACAGCAATAAGTAAAATCCACCAGGAAAAAGCAAGACATGAGGACTATATAGAGAATGGCATAGAATTCTGAGAAAGGCATTTATGTGGGTAATCAAATTTATTATTTACAATGAAGACTGTTCAAATGAATTACAGGAACTACAAAACCCAGCAAAAGGATTGTCTGCCATATACTGACATCATTATGAGGATGAGTAGAAAAAGTATTTACTCTGAAAATCTCTGATTAAAATCTTTGCACAACAGCTCAGATTAGCAGCCCCATGGGTCACCTTCATCCACATGGCTCAACTCAGCTGCCAAAGAACTGCAACTGTATGCCTCTAACAACCAAAGTTTACCAAAGTCAGGACACAGCTTCTTTAAAAGATTCATCAACTTCATAACATAAACCCAGTGCAGGAGCCTCCAGAGAAAAGGAAGCCTATTCTAGCAAGTTCAGCTAAATGCAAAATTATGTCAGCAGGTGCTCCCAGCTAGTTGCATCCTGGCACCATCACTGTATTTCTAATAGTCTAAATATTTGCTTTCAAACGGTGGATAACATGGCTCAGGAGGGCTTCTCTTCACTGAGAACAGCAGATTAAAACAAACAAACAAAAAAGAAGTATGAGTTAATCTCTTAAAAAGCTGCCATTCTTCAAAAAGAGAGTTCTAAAGATTTATTCACTAATTAGCAATAACCAAATATATCAGTAAATATATTACATGAAAATGGGCTAAATACTCCAATTAAAAAGATAAAAATTGTCAACTGGATTTAAAAACAGAAACGAACAAATAGACAAAAAAAAAACTCATCCAACTATATACTTCCTAGAAAAGAGAAACTTTAAATGTAAGGTTAGAGAAATTGTGAAAATAAAAGGATAGACAAAGAAATACCATGCAGACGCTAACCAAAAGAAAGCTGATGTAACTGTTCAAATATCAAAGTAGGCAGTAAGGCAAAATCATCAATTTAATGACAAAAGCATCAATTCAACAGAGAGATAACAATCTGAATTTGTATATGCCTAATACAACCTCATAATATACAAAGCAAAGACTGACAGAGTTAAAAATTTACTATCTTAGTGGGAGATTTTAACAAAGCTCTCTTTGTAACTGATAAAACAGGCACACCAAAAAAAAAAAAAAAACCATATAGAAGATTTAAACTTCACCTAATTGACATATACAACATCCAAAAAACCATAAAATGCACATTCATTTCATGTATACTTAGAATATTTACCAAATAGATACTATGCTGGGCCATAAAGCAAGTCTCAAAAATATTAAATACTGAAATTGTAACTAGTGTGTTTTCTGACCACAGTGGAATTAAAAACCAATAAAGGAAAGAGAATGAGAATATCTCCAACTGTTTGGAAACTAGTCAATATGCTTCTAAATAACCCACATGTCAAAGAAGATATAATACTAGAAATCAGAAAACATTCATAACTGAATAATTAGAATACAAATATCATAACTTGTAATATGATGCTAAAGCAGTAATTAAAAGGAAACTGACAGTCTTAAATGGATATTTAAGCAGGCTGAAAATTAGATGGTCTAAGCTTCTACCACAAACAAGAAAAAGAACAAATAATTAAACCCAAAGAAAGATGAAGAAATGAAAGATGAGCACAGAGATCAATGATATAGAAAACAAATATACAATACAGAAAATTAACAAAGTCCAGAAGTTTCTTCTTTGAAAAGATTAATTGATAAACTTTTACCAAGACTGCCCAAGAAAAATAAAAGTGAATACAAAAATTCTCACTGTTGTGGATATGTAGTTAAAATGTGTATTTATGGATCTATGAGTTTCACTCTAAATAACTCTATGAAGGAAATCCATTTTTGTCTATAGCTTAGGCACCAAAAAGTGTCATGCTTGGTAAAGACCCTAGTAGAGACCACGGAAAATAAAGTTAACACTGTAGCCAAAGTGGTCAGCCTTCATATCCCAAACTGGCATTTTAGGGAACATCCAAAACATTAAGGTTTAATAACAAGAATAAACTGTGCTCCTTCAAATATTGTCCCTATTCTCCAACAGATGGCAAGTTCAGTAAGAGAAGGGGCTTTGATAATCTTGCTCACTTTGTACCCAAAGTGCTGGAACATTATAGACAATAAGTATTTGTTGAATAAAAATAATTAAAAAGAAGAATAAACCACCCTATATAAAATAGCAAACACTCCAATAATCTCCCTAGCCTGCTTTACCTTTCTCCATCATACTTATAACCATCTAACAAGCTACATTTATTTGTTTATTCGGTGCCTAGGACATTCTCAGCACATAACAGGCACTCGAGCAATAATGGTGGACCAGATAAATGATCATGTCCTCCTTTTTAACTGGTACTATTCACTATCATTCCAATGCCCAAAGTTGAGAAATTAAATCTGCTGCTGTTTCAAATTCAGTACCATCCACATTGCTGTTGCTGTGTGCTGCTGAGTCGATTCTGACTCATTACGACCATATATAACAGAGTACAACTGCCTCATAGGGTATCCTAGGCAGACGGTCATCGAAAAAAAGGAAGACCCTTGATGAGATGGATCGATGGACACAGCGGCTGCAGTAACGGGCTCAAACACAGCAACGACCGTGAAGATGACGCAGGACCAGGCGCGGTCCGTTTTGTTGTTCGTAGGGTGGTTGAGCTGGAACTGACGTGATGGCATCTAACAACTACAGTCTTTAAGAGACGGGCTGCCAGGTCTTTTCTCCCTCAGAGCTGGTGGGTTGGAACCACCAACTTTCCATCAGCAGCCGAGTACTTTACCATTGTGCCACCAGGGCTCCTTACGTTAACTGGATCTTTACCTGAGGCTTGTTAAGGATCCTGCCATATACTATTGTTTTTGTAAACAACTGTATGTAAAACAATTATAATGTGATCATACTGCTCAGGGCTGCAATGTGACACACCTCCAGGGGCCACCAATCACTTTGATATTATAGATCACCATTGACAGAAAAAGTTAACCCGTTCAAACTAACGTCTAAAGACATCATCTAATGAAACAGTTTGTAAAATCTAAAAGTACCTGATAAAACTTGTAATATACACATGCACAAAAGTTGCCATCAAATACTGACAATCAAATCTGTCCATGATCCCTCCATGTCCAGGAATGGTGTTTGCAAAATCCTTCAGAAACAAAAAACAAAAAACGTATTAGCAAATTTTTAAAAAATCACCAGTTACAAAATTCCTATCTGTAAATGTCTCTTTGGCATCACGGACTCCATAAGAAAAATAGTTTACTATTGGAATTTTCCACTGAATACAAACTTATTAAAACATATCCAACATATTTCAACTAGGTGCCCATGTTAAAATAGTTACTGGATTGATCAACAGCATTCAAGTCATAACACTAATTAAATCTAGCACTAACTTTTTAAATTAATAAAACTTTTCCTAAATTGAAAATGCTATCAATGATTACTAAACTTAATCTTGTGATAATTTACCCTTCTGTTTAACCGGACACTATTTTGGGAGCTATTTTAAGTGTTGTTGGCAGATGCACAACTGGTTTTAATTCATGTTTATCCTAATAGTTCTTACTCTGAAATAAATACTTTTTACTACTATGATAGATATTTCTTCTTCTTTTTTTTTTCAGTGCTAGGGAAAAAAGAAAATCAAAACAGACAGTTCATTTGGGACCCATTAATCCATTAAACAATGAATGAAGGAATGGTTAGTAGGCCTTTGTAAACTGACTCTGTGCAGACACATTCACATATCCAAGAACCTAGGAAATGGAACTGACTACGTGTTCTTCTAGTTCACTCAGGCAACCTGAGTTGATTAAACATCAAACATGCAACAACAGCAATCACACCTTCATTTCAGACACGCAAAAAATCGCCCCATTCAACAAGAAACCGAGGATTGGAGACCATTAAAGAAAATACCATTCTAAATATAACATTTCTCTGTTTAAAATAATTATTGAAATTATCCATTTTCTTTGGTTAATTTTTGCCCGCCCATTTCCTTCCTTTTCTTCCCTACTAACTGAAGCACAAGGGAGCCATGGTAACTCAATTCTGCTCTGCTGTTAACAGTCTTTACCATGTACTCACAACATGTGACTCTTGCTGCAGTTCTTTGTGGACGTATGTGTATTATCTCCCCTAGGAGGTGGTGGGAGTCCCTGGGTGGTACAAATGGTTAATGTGCTTGGCTGCTAACTGAAAGGCTGGAGGCGGAAGTTCAAGTCCACCCAGAGGTGCCTTAGAAGAAAGGCCTGGCTATCTACTTCTAAAAAATCAGCCACTGAAAACCCTATGGAGCACAGTTCTACTCTGACACACATGAGGTCACCATGAACCAGGGTTGACTCAATAGTAACTGGTATTAACTGGTAGTAGACTAGGAACATTCCACCTAACATAGTATCTTATCCACTATAAGTGCTCACTGAGTTAATTAATTTCCTCTAGAGCCCCACACAGTCTTGCCCCACCGACTTCTGCAGTCTTATCTACTCTGCCACACTGTTCTTGCTTCCCCTCAAAGAGGTCAAGCTCTTTAGCTCCTCTGCACTTGCTGGAACTTTATTCCCCAGAGTTCTCCATAGGGTTCATTCTCCTGCTTTTCTCAGTTCTCTGATAAAATGTCACCTCCTCAGACAGTCCTTTCCTGACACAATATTCACCCTTGACTTAGTGAAGCCATGTGAGGGAGACTAATAGGGCAGACATATGTTGCTTTATGGTAATCTAACTTCAACAAAACACAGGAATTATTTTAAGTATCTGGAACAGGGATCAGCAAACTATGGCCCACAGCCTAAATCCAACCATCTATTTTTGTAAATAAAGCTTTATTAGAAGATAGCCACACCCATTCACTGATATACTGTTTATGGGAGCTTCCTTGCTACAATGGCAGAGTTTATAGTTAGTAGTTGCAACAGACTGTATGGTCTGCAAAGCCTAATGTACTTACTATCTGGCCCTTTACGAAAGAGTTTCCTGACCCCTGATCTAGAAGAACAGTTACATGAAGGCTCCCTTGCATGTCCTTTCACGTGACACTATAGCAAGACACTCAACTTCAGACAACTCTGGCTGGAGTCTTTGATGAACACTCGAAGGACAAAGATTCTGCATCTGTCCCAACAGTAAGTGACACGTGCCATTTCTAGAAAAGCAAAAGGCTGCCATGACACTTTAGAACGTATTAACGTGGTATGACCAAACCCTAACAAGAAAGAAGACACTCAGACCAAGTAGAAAGCATTTCTGTGAGACTGAAACAAATAGGATGCAAAAGTTTTTTTGACCAGGGGTTTAATATGTGAGAACAACAGAGAATCAAATTCTGACTAAATTACATTCTGTAATGATACATTTTCTAATAATGTAACAAAGAATTTAAACACACACCTTGATTTTGAAAGCTCTTTTGAATCCACTGGCAAAGAAGCCTCCAAATGGGCCAATTAAAGACGCAAACGTTGAAAGAGCAATACTGTGTATCTGGAAAGGATACAAGCTCACTGTTTCCTAAACGGGTTGGGCGGGGGGGCGGTAGGGAAGACAGAAATAACTGCATGAAAATTGTATTTGAGCATGCCACCAAATCTAAGAACCATGATACCAACAAGTAAGTTAGAGGAAATGCCACATTTTTTAATTTCATGAACTTTAAGAATCATGGGGAAAAAATATATTGTAAGTTTTCATTACCATCCTCTACTTAACCAGAGCTCTCCATTTCCTCTGCAATCATATTGACAGACAGCTGGCACACTGAAATCTCAAAGCTGGCTGGCTACTTTATCGTTTGTGTAGGAACTTTTACTTCCACTAATTGAGTCACATGCTCACCAAGAATCAGCTGAGTTAGTTTCTAACTTGTTCTTTTAACCAGTAGTACTTTGTTTTTGTACTTATATGATTTGTTGTAATTGTGTATTTTATTTAACTTTACTTAATTTTATACGATGAAATAAGGGAAAAGTTTTCTTAAAACTAAGTTGAATGCTTAGGGAACACTCAAAAGTGAGTTGCTTAAAGACTATCAAAATAAGCATCAGCAAGACAACTGTAAAATATTCAGGGAGAGGATCATAAAAATTGAGAAGGATTCTGCAAATTATTTTGTGTATTCCTTGTTCTTTCTCCACTTTAAATAAACTAAAAGAAAAACTGTAGACAGTGCATAATGGGTGTAGCTTAAGAAAGAGGATAAGGATCACCAATCTTTGGACCTGTTCTCAAAGCAAAAGCCTTACCCCTAAATCAAATACTGAAAGCAGGTAATAGATGGCTTGGACATTGAAAAAAAATCTTGGAATCCATGTATTAGGCAATGAAGGAGAGAAATAATTTATTGATTAACCTGCTTCTCAAAAATTATGGATTTTAGTTAAAAATAAAATACTTTAGGTACGTATGTACACACACTATTATAGTTATGTACCACATAACGTCTGTTTGGGCAACATCTGACCACCTATACATCCCACAAGGTTATAATAGAGTTCAGAAATCCTGATCAGAGAACAGGACGTAGCAGATGTAGGCACGCTGCACTTGACAATCACAGTGAACCTCAAAAACAAAAAACCAAATTCTCCAAGCTGTTAAAGGATAGGCTCCACTGAAAGCTACAAGGCTAACAAAAATTCAAGAGGGACCTCTATCAGATATGGAGAAATTGCTAATGACATGGATTGAGGACCAAATGCAAAATCAAATCCCTCTCAGCACCTTAACCATCACTGCTAAGGCACAAAGCTCATTTGAGACGCTTAAAGAAAAAGCAGGACCAGACTACGATATCTAGTTTAGCACTAGCTCTGGGTGGTTCAAGCACTGCCAACAACGTTTTTCCCTGCATAATGTGAAAATGAGTGGTGAGTCTGCCAGTGCTGATGTGAAGGCAGCAGCAGAATTTGTTGAAACTTTAGATAAACTAATTGTAGCCCACTCATAGTAGACCCTACAGGACAGAGTAGAACTGTCCCACAGTTTCCAAGGAGTGCCTGGTGGATTCAAACTGCCGACCTTCTCTTTAGCAGCTGTAGCTCGTAACCACTACACCACCGGGGTTTCCAAACTAATTGTAGAGGGAGGTTATTTGCCCCAGTAAATTTTTAATATGGACGAAACCTCCTTATTCTGGAAGCAAATGCCTGAAAGGACTTTCATCCAAAATATGACATAACGTCATATTTCACAGAATATATTGTGGATATTAAGCGACGCATGACAGTATTTGATTCCCCATTTTAACCAGCCAACCATCAGTCCTGATCACATAAATCAGCAGTGTTCTGATGGACAGCATTTCACCATCCTTCAGTGTGAGACCTCAAGGATGCCTTTAAATAGCAGAAATGAGCTTTTAGAAAGGAAACTGATTTTTAGAAGGCAGCAGCTTTCTATACTAGTAAATATCTCAAAAAATCAAGGGATCTTTGAGCTGGAAATTCTAATTAAGCTTCAAATTGAGTCAATTCATACCAGTTACACTTGAAACTCATTCTAATCTATTTAATTTGTAAAAATATAAGGAATATTGAGAAACGTTTTAAATACAAATGTATGTGATAAATTACTAGTATCAGTACTTAAACCATTAGGCAAATAAATTCCAAGTAGATAACTGGTTTGGAATACTAGTATTCATTTTATGTTCAAGAAAATGAAATCAAAGGGGACAGAAATAATATGTTATTGATGTTAAACAGACACTAAAACCCCTTCTATAACACAGAGTTAAAAATTCTGCATACGTAGATTTCTTATAAAAATCCTAATCCTATTTTTAAATGAAGCTTAATCTTCGGGAGTGATCCCTAACCATGTTTACCTTGAAATTTTACTCTTACCCGTCTCAACACTGCCTGCAGAAAGGAAGGAAGTGAATAACTCTGAAGCTGGAAAAGTTCTGAGGGTTCACATTCTGTAACGAAGGAGTTTACATCGCTTCGGTATTCCACTGGGCAGACAAAGTACTGGTATTTGGATAACACGTAGGCGGCCTGAATAACAAAGCAACAGTTCATAAACCACTGACTTAAAATATATACACACACATATTTTAAGCTATATTTCAGAAAGGCCAGAGATAGAAAGCCAGAATTTCTTTGTATTAACATCTTACTATGTATTTCAAAGTTCGATGGTTGTAACTGTGCCAGTAAAAAAAAAAAACATGAAAGGCCTTTAGAAAATAAAAGGTTTTTGAAATAAATGAGACTGTAATCTCTGTGCTCCCAAGAAAAGGAGGAGAGATAAAGTAGCTGATTTGAACACTTAAGCACTATAGCCAGATTTGACTTTTTAGAAGCACACATTAATGTTACCAGCAACTAAGAATTTTAAAGGTACAGGTAAGTAAAGGACTAAAGTTTTTTGCATACAAGCTTATATTAACTTCATCAGTTAAAAAGTAACCAGTGATTCCAAATTACTAAGAAAATGGTACAAAATAAACCTGTTGCCATAGTCGATTCTGACTCATAGAAACCTCACAGGACAGAGCAGAACTGCCCCATAGGGTTTCCAAGGCTGTAAATATTTACGGAAACAGACTGCCACATTTTTCTCCCATGGAGCGGCTGGTGGGTTTGAACCGCCAACCTTCTGGTAAGCCAGCTGAGCACTTAACTACTGTACCACCAGGCCTCCCTGGTACAAAACAGTACAGATGAAGAACACCATTGTTCTTAACCAACCCAGAAAATGTTGATTATTCTTTCCCTGGCCACATCACTGTGATTTTTAGAACTAGCCATCCTCAAACAGGGAAGCAGAAGATACATAAAACATCCTCATGTATTCAAATTTCTAGGTAACAGTTTATTCTCATTTTCTTTTTTTTCCCTGCAACCATTATTTTGCTTAAGAATGGTTAATACAAATGCAAATATGACACTGGGAATGGACATAAATTGATTTTGCTTCCAAACAACCAAGCTCCTTAAAACCATTTATTAGAAAATATAATTTCCCTCCCCATTATTTTAACATGCATTACATACTTATGGAGTAGCTCTTTATTTTCTTCCAGTGATATGGCTATTCCTACAGTATTTTCAAACTAGTATTTAATAATACTAAATTCACATAATATTATGAAACACAATTCATGTTTGAATTATTCTTGCTTTGTATTGCATAAGCACTGGATGGGACTGGAGTACATAAATTATTAGTTCATCAATATTCTATCACATAGTCTCGAGTAGTTTTTATCAAATTCTATTGGAATTTTCACTGAGAATAAACTAAACTTATAAATTAAACAGAAGAATTATGGTGGTTTTCCCAACCAGAAACATGCCACATTTCTATGTACTGTTTATGTTTGCTCCCTCTCAAAGCTTCATGTTGGTTCTAGTTATTCTATATTTGGATAAAAAGTACAGACTAGAATTGTCAGGCACAAGACTAGTAAAAGTTTACATTTTGTAACAAACATTTTGTCTATTTATCCTATATCCAGCCATTTTAATGTAACTTTACTGTCAGTAGACATCTTTTAATAAAAACTTAAATTCCATAACTGTAAACAAATTCTTACAGCATTAACAATGTTCATTATTCATGGCTAAAACTGAACATTAATTGTTTATAATTAAGAGACTTTTCCTGCAAGTTGGGCTCACAGCAATAACCACCCACTAAGCCAAGTGGCCACATGTGTTAAGAAGGCAGAATTCTTCCATAGTATTTGTACTCTCTGCTGTTACTCAAAGCCATCACCTGTCCCAGCACCTATGTCCTCCACAAGGCAGAATGCTGTTAGAAACTTCCAAGACACAAGAGCACAGCATCGGGTCTCAAGCCTGCCAGCACATTAGAATCACCAAGGGAGTTAGTTGGTCTGCGGTAGGGCTAGGGCACAGATTTTGCTTAAGCTCCCAAGTGATTCTGATGTACAGCCAGGATAAGTGCTACTAGGGTACAGAACGGGTTCTGTTTAGTAGATTTCAATAAGTACATTATTAGCGTTTTGTGGTTTAATTTGTTTAGGTTTAGAATAGAGAAACAAACTTGCTACCATTCTTCAAAATATGAATAAAATAAAAATCCTAGTAAAACTCACAATGAATCCAAATACGACTGTGGAAAAGAAACCGCCAATGAATCCTTCCCATGTCTTTTTAGGAGACAACTAAAAAAAGGCCAAATAAAATTAAAAAAGAGTTACTGCACTCACAAAACACACACATATATACGCAAGTTCTGTTCAAGGAGGTCCCCCAATTATTTGTCCATTTCTACTTTTTTTCTTATTGGAATAGTTTCGTAATCTTGTTTCCTTCATTTGATGATCCTGATTTACTTGTGCAAATCCTTCTAACAGTATTTAACACATAGTAGGCCCTCGAACATTTGAGAAGCTATGGATGTCTATTCGTTTCTGTCAAACACCCTCAATGTATTTGCTTTTTCTCTGAAAATACTATAAAGTCTATACTGAAATAATAGTCTCATGGCATTTATTCTTACATGAGCCCCCATAATGGAAGAAAGATAAGCTATATTCATCCAAGTACACACAGTCTGTTTTGACCTGCTGACTAAAAATCAAATTAGTACAACAAAACATGGACACTGTAGCACATCCGATTTTCATATATTCCCGATATGCTATACAAACAACAGACCTCTTTCTGTTTTGTAAAATACTCTATAGCCCCAAATGTTGTACTTCCTCTACAAGTATTTGCATATCCTTCTGCCTTTGCTCACAATCTGTCTGTCTCCATGAAGAAAGGAACATGTTGTGCTTCTAACAGATACTATTTCAGGTTTACGTTATTCCTCCAGTCACTATGACATTCACGTAGAGAAATCTGGAGGACAGTTTGGAACCTGGTGATGCAGGGGCAAGAGGACAAGATTTAGAAGTGGACAGTGCTAAGTGACCCAGAGATGGCATATAAGATAAGGACTGAGATGTTAATGGGATCTGGTAAATCACTGGTGACCTCTGTGATGACCATTTCAGTGGAACAACGGAGACAGAAGTCAAGTATCAGAGGCAGGTCTCTGAAGACAGAAATCAGTTATAGGCTAAGCTACATAAGCTCTTTATAGACCTTCTGTCCTGATGGTCATAAAGCTCAAAGCCGGAAGAACCCAAAACCCATTGTCATCGAGTCAGTTCTGGCTCACAGTGACCCTACAGGACAGAGCAGAACTGCCCCACAGGGTTTCCAAGGCTGTAAATCTTTACGGAAGCAGACTGCCACATCTTTCTCCTGCGGAGCAGATGGTGGGTTTGAACTGCAGAGCTTTTGGTTAGCAGCTGAATGCTTTTAACCACTAGGCCACCAGGGCTCCAAAGCCAGGAAGTTTGGCAGAAACAGTTTTTGACAAATCTTTTAACAATTCTGCCACAGAGAAGGGGCAAATACACCTTCTCCTAAGATACTCTGGAATTACTGCCATGACGTTAGGAATAAACTCAAACTCAAAAGTGCCTGTTGACTATTTTAAAGACAGCTTATCAAATTAATTCATATTATATTGATTTAGAGGTTAACTAGCTTGATTACATCTTGGTACACACAGGGTCGTCATGAGTCGCAATCGACTTGATGACAATGGGAAAATATTATATAACTAATCCAGCCTGGTAAATTCACTAGAAACCTCCTTCAAAATCAGACACTGAGTCTTCTACAGCTATAACAGCCTCTCTGAAGGCTTCCTAAGCCTAAAATTTCCAGCCTATATATAGCTTTTGAAGGAGCCCTGGTGGTGCAGTGGTTAAGCATTTGGCTGCAGTTCATATCCACCAGCAGCTCCTTGGAAACCCTATGGGGCAGTTCTACTCTGTTCTACAGGGTTGCTATGAGTCAGAAATCAACTCGACGGCAATGGGTTTTTTTGGTTTGAACAGAGCTTTTGAGTACTTAATCAGTTACTCTGGTGCTACAGAAGCTTTAGAACACTTTTTAAATATATAGCTTGCTTGCCAGTATCCCAACAACTCAGCCTGATGCCACATACTGGAGTTCTCCATGAGGAAGAGTTTATGGCAGGTGTTTTGAAGGACACGCAGTCTGTGCATTCTTCTGGCAATGCCCAGCTACTCTCATCACTTTGTGAACAACTGTCTCATCCCCTCCAAAACTAGCCTTCACACAGTAACATTAAAATAGCCAATTATTATTTGTGAGAAGATTATCGAGGATGTTGCCCACTATGTGGACTGAGTGAATCCTATCTGGAATCTTGACATGAAAATTTTTATTTTAAGAAATTAGTTTTAGAAAACAATTTGCTTGCCATGAGGAATTGGTTTGTTTCTTCCTAATAACAAGAACTTATTTCCTTCTTTGTCTTCACTGACTGTAAACCCAACCAAATGTAAGGCAAACAACAGATACAGACTGATTGTGTGTATTTCCCTCTCAACTTTTCATTATTACTTGCATTTTACCAGTATTGTACTGTAGGAACTCACTATCTTTTCTGAAATGAGTTTGGGTGTAAAAGTCTCACAAATTGGACATGAGTATGTGAAAATAGTAAAATACACCTTTCCAAAATCTATCAGAAGAGAGAATAGATGAGAAGACAGCTTGAGGGGAGAGCAGTGTCAAGAAAAGGCTTGTTTTGGGCTTGCTGGGGAGAGGGATGAAGAAGAACTGCACGATGGCTGAGGGAAAGAACACCAACAAAAAGATGGAATGAGCCTGCACAAGACAGAGAATAACTGATGGAGTCAAGTTCTTTTGAGGAGCCAACAGAGTACCTGGAGAAGAACGCAGATGGAATCATTGGGAAGTATGCTCAGTGCCCCTATCCTACAGCTGTTAAGTGCTGCCAAGAGAAATCAAGGTACCTTGGACATAAAAAAATGTGCAACGGCATAAAATGACTGGAAGTTTTCTCCAGTGGCTGATCTTTAAGGTCATGGTAGTGGCTTGTTTGTAATATTTTTCATTACCTTAATTAATGGAGTTCTCCCAAAAAAAAATCCAAAAAGGTAAGCAGTTATGTCATTGCAGATAACACTTGATATTGGAACAAGGAACCTTAAAAAAAAAAAAGTCAGCAGAAAAAAGTCCACATGATTAAGTTGTAAATATTCATACAGGTTATGACTCATAGTGAACCAATGTGATAATCCTTTGAATTACACTGCAGCCTAGTCTACAACATAACACTTGCCAAAACACTGGTGGAAACAATAAACATCAACCGAATTTGTCCATTTGGCCATTAAGTGGAGTGCAATCTATGAACAATATAATATCAGAGAGAATATCATTAGGAAAAATATTAAATAATCACCTTTGCAGTTATGGATATTTAAATTCCAGTTTTATGAAGAACAAGTTATAATAGTATAAAGCATAAAATAAAGTCAGGTTAAAAGTTTCTCTTACTAAAAACAGCCTTTTAAAATGGAAATGAGTTATATGCTTACACTGAGTATAATCTTATAAATTTATACTAAATTCTTAATGCAATTTCCCTTTCAGGTAAAATGATGAATTTTAATTCTATCTTAGCCTATGGCTGCATTGAACCTCCTCCCCACCGCCACACTACTTGTACAGAACCTACTAGTTTTATTAACTGCACATTTTTAAATGTGCATCAATTAAAAGTTTGTATATAGAAAAAAACTTAACGTGATTCCAAATGTTTACACACACACACATACACAAAACAAAATCTTGGTTAAAAAAAGTCAAACTATCAACAAGGGAATAAATTAATCTTGCAAAAACACTCAACTGTAAAAGATTTTAATTAATGGGTTTAAAAGGAATATAGAGAAAATATAATCAGATTTTTAAAAATCTTAAGCTTTTTCTACAGTCTAACCAATGTTATGTTGTTGGGTTATGTTAGATGCCGTCGGGTCGGTTCCGACTCATAGCAGTCCTGTGTACAACAGAACAAAACACTGCCTGGTCCTGTGCCATCCTCACAACTGTTGCTATGTTTGAGCCCATTGTTGAAGCCACTGTGTCGACCCATCTTGTTGAGATTCTTCCTTTTTTTCGCTGACCCTCTACTTTACCAAGTCTAACCAATACTAACAAAAAATGCTTTCTGAATCTGCAAGCCATTGCCACAGAGCTTTGAAATCTGGAAACCTTTCACTCCTCCATTCAAGCTGAGTCGAACCTACCCAGCTTTCAGCAAGAGAAAATGCACATCATTTGCTGGCAAGTAAACCTTTTGTGTCCTTTTAGATTCCATGTAAATAATATCTTCTTTTAAAGGTCTATGCTTTGTAAAAAGTTACAGGAAGGTTTATTAGCACCTAAAAATGTAATTAATTGGGAATTTTATTTGAAATCTGAATAAGGAAGGTGTCCAGTTGTTAATGAAGCATTTTGTGTTCAGTTGTCAACAAGTAAGCAAAACTCAGTAAGATATTTTAATGGAACAGAGGGACAACAAATAGTAAGTTTTTGGTAGAAATCTCAAAGACACTGTCCAATATTAAAGAGCTAAAAAAGTGCTATGACATCATAAATATAAAGCAACATAATACTGTTCCCTTACCATATCATGCCTTCAAACAGATTTTGGATGACAAGATGTGACTGAGTGACAGTTATCAGTAAAGTGACATGAGTCCATGCGAACTGTTAATAGCCCAACAACACAACAATTAGTGAACACAACTCATCAGTGCAGCTGAGAAGCAATAGCAAATTTGAAATACAAATTTCTTGCACGACTTTTGGTCAAAATTTGTAATTTAAGATCATACAAAATAAGGTAGTTAGTAAATTATATTCATTTTGTTGCCTACTGGAACCTTAAGATGATGAAAACATTTAAGAAAGTAATTTTAATTTGTATACAAATGGAAGGCTAATAATACTGAGATACACCAGTAAATTAAAAAAATGTAAAAAAAGAAATCATACTCTTGAATTATAAGGTTACAATGAGAATGAGAATTTTATGCTGTTCTTATGCATTTGGAGAGGAACGTTTTACTCTGGTTACATTCTGTATTATTCTGTATTATTAAAAATGCTAAAAAATAATTTTTTCAGAGCTTATTAGGGTAACTTTTCTCATAAAGAGTTCTTTCTAATTTCAAATGCCTCAAATCAGCAGGGTTCAACTGCCCTTAAACTCCACCTTTTATATCTGAAAGCTGATTGTCAAAGATCTGTCCAATAACAGTATTCAATTTCAAAATTTCAAAGAACTCTGCTATTTCATCAATTCCATCTAACATGGAAAATGGGGCCACTTCAGTGTCTTTTAGCACCATCACTAAGAGTAGAACATGAACAAAGAGAAACTAACATTTCTATGTACTAGTCTCATAATTTTGACTGTAATTTTCAAAAATGACTTCAAAATTCTTAAGATTTGAATTTATTCATAGTAAACCTGTTTCCCATTTCAGCAAACATTATATTATATTGGTTGTTTCATTTTATTTTTATCTGCTTAAAAGATCCAATTCTCTTTTACCCCAGTTGCTTTAAAATGCATAAGGATTTTGTTCCAGGAGGCATCATTTACATTTTCACAGGAGATTCTATTATTTCTAATTTGTCCTGACTGTTTCTAGATATTCACTAAGAATTTTATTCTACTCTCAGATCCCCTGAAATCAGGAAAGTAAGAAATACTAGTTTCCCAGTGCTAATGCCCAGCAGGATGTCTTAATGGAGAAAAGCAAAGCATAAAATATAGGCAATATATCCCAAATCCAAAACAAGTCTTACTAGAACATGAATTCACAGATCAAAATAATTCTTGCATTTTACAGCTTATAATTAGCTTCATTTTAATGAAATAAGACAAGTGTATAATGTACAATAATGAATTTCATGAAACATTAAAACTTGGATACACTGAACAAAATACCTTATGCCAAAAAGAATTATGCAATTATATGACTATCTATAACTACCAAGAAAATACATGCTCTGCTGTGTGCTTTATGCTCAGGCTAAGAGCAAGTAAACAGGATTACTTTCCATAGAAGAACACAGCTAGAAAACAATAAAACTCTTCAGATTTCCACAAATTTAGGGAATCCAAATAATTTCAATTTTTTAGACTTTGAAAATATTCAAGAAAAAATGTTGAGGGAACTTTGAAAAAAAGTTAAACTTTTAAACTTCAATGTTTTGTATTTAAGAGTCATCCTAAAATAAAAAATCCCTCACATTAGATAAGAAATCAACTAGCAGATTAGCTATTTCCTCACTACAGAAAATAAATTAAAGGTAAGGGTTTTTATTTCAGATCGTGACTACAGAATAATGGTTAATACACACCATATAAAACTGCAGACGATAATGTTTCTTCACCAAGCTCAGTACAAACATGCAGAAACCTGTTCAAGAACAAAAAACAAGTTCTTGTTGTGCAATTTGGTACAAAGTATAAGATTCAAGAGCCCAAATAAGCCAATTCCCTATACCACAACTACCCCATCTAGACACATTTTAACCACCTACTCAGATGCCATCTCTCCTACTATCTTATATTAAGCATTCTAAACAAGTTCCTTGAAGAAAAAAATCCTGTATTCTCCAAAGTGCCTAATTAATATATTCCATGGCACAGATTCAATAAACATCCCTGCACTAAGTTCATGAAGTAGACTTGAATTTCAATTTCAATTTATTTGCTATATCAACTCTTCAGGTATAAGTATAGAATGTTTTCAATCTCTACATAATACAAAAACAAATAATTACTATCATGACAGCTAACATTCACTGAATACTTATTTATGTTCCAGGCATTTGTCTAAGCATTTTTACATGTATTAACTCATTTAATCCTTCCAACATTCCTGTGATGTAGGTACCTTTTATTACCTCCATTTTACAGATGAAGGAAAACGCATAAAGGGCTTTATTAATTTACTGAGGATCACAGGGCCAGGAAGTAGATAAGGTCAGGAATCCTATTGTCACGTGGTTCCAAAAACCCATATTTAATTAGATCAGCAAGATTCAGGTTAAGAGTAATTTGAAATTTCTCAGAACATTATATGAATTATAGTAAAATATGATAACTCTCAATTTCTAGGTTTAAAAAACAGTATTTGTGTTTGTATTTATATCCTACAAATTTATTACAATGAAAATTTAGTAAATAAAAATTCCTATCTTTTTAAGTGAAATCTAATAATCATATGGAGCATAGTGATTAAGTGTTTGGCTGCTAACCAAAAGGTCAGCAGTTCTAATCCACCAGCAGCTCCTTGGAAACCTTATGGGGCAGTTCTGCTCTGTCCTATAGGGTGGCTATGAGTTGGAATCAACTCAGCAGCAATAGGTTTTTTTTGGTTTTAATAATCATATACTAAAATATTGGGAGGCAATATAAAACACTTCTTGCTCAGTATAACAGTAAACTTCTAAAGATAAAAGTTTCACAGAGGTGGATCTTGAAAATGCATAAACCGAGTTTAATTGCAGATAAACATCCACAAATGTATTGTATTCTGCAAATCTTTACAGAAAGTGTGTTCTCTTAGAAACTGAATTGTTAACTGCTCTATCCCATATAAAATAAATACTAGGCTTTGTGTATCTAATTTAAACTTACCGAAACAATTCTATGCAACAGACTAGGCAAGGGTGCTACTACCCTCTCCAGAGCAAATAAGCAAACAGCAGTTGCCTTTAGCTGTTTTTTGATGACTGATTTGAAATGTCAAAGCATAAAGAACGATGACAAAAGAAGAGAATTCATACTGACCCCCAGATCCTACTTGTCACCTACTAGGGAATAAGAATAAACTTATTAACACTATGCAAAACTGGACTGAAAAAGCAATTTGTAAACTTTTTCTGAGCAGAGGCACAACTGAAAACCAATACGTCACCTTTAAGAGGGAGAGGGGAGCACTAGAGCATGAAATTCATGGTACTGGAATCACTGGCTGTATAAAATAACTCTTGAAATTATCATTGTAAAGTTTTTCCTTTACAGCAGGTAGACTTAATCTTGTGGCTCAAGTAACGATGTGATTTCTATGCTGTTTTTTGCCATTGGTCCATAGTTAAATGTGACAGCACATGGACTTGGTTCAGAGGCTAATGGGCAAAGGGCAAAGCAGAGAGACGGGAAGATGCAGCTGGAACCTCTCGTTCCATCCAAACAGACCACTTGACTCTCCTGGCACAGCCGTGGGGATTTCTCAACAGCATTAACTATAAATTATCTTCCCACAAATGCTACTCCAAAATATACAGTTATCTCTTTCTGGAAATTATATAATACCATTAACTCTCAAGCATTTCTTCAAACAAAATCACCAGCCATATTATTCAATATTTTCTTAATGGACATTTTATACAGGACAGTCTTGCCAATTCACTTCTACCTGATCCAGTTCTGCCTTTAAATTAACCAGTGGTGTGTGGCTTTCTAGAGTGCTCTAACAAAGGATATAATTATCTGACTCCTAGGTATGTTAAGATAATATAGTTCTTTGACTTTTGGGGTGGGGGGGCGCGGTTTCAAATGTTTTCCTAGCATATCTAAGGTTAAACGTTATTTTAAAAGGAACACCCCAATTAACAAAAGAATATTTGTAGGGCTGTATTTCCAATTAAAATCATAGGGTTTGTTACAGTATTGTAAATATAAGTATACATTTTTAAAGCTTTCAAATATGCAGCTCTTTCAATATAATTATGTTCCATTACACTCAATGATCATCACCATTTATGTACACAGCACTGCGCCTGGTGCTGTCCCAACAAAGATGTGTACCTCATGCTCTCCAGGCTCAAGGAGCTCATCAGGTGGCTAGAGAGAGCTGGTTATCCATCAGACTAAAGAGAGGTGTAGTCAAAGAGAACAAAAGAGAATGAGATTTCTAAGGAAAACAGAAGTAAAGGGGTAAAAAGATACTAAAAAGCCCAAAGGACAGAATAGAGGGAATTTTAGAAAGATGTACCAACAACTAAAAAAAATATTTATGGAGCCCTGTTGGCACAGTGCTTAAGAGCTCAGCTGCTAACCAACAGGTTGGCAGTTGGAATCTACCAGCTGCTCCTTAAAAACCCTATAGGGCAGTTCTACTCTGTCCTATAGGGTTGCTAAGAGTAGGAATCAACTCAACAGCAATGGGTTTGGTTTTTTTGGGCTTTATGATATAACAAAAAGGGTGGATGTTTGAGTCCATCCAGAGGTGTCCTGGAAGAAAAGCCTGGCAATCTACCTCTGAAAATCAGCCACTGGAAACCCTATGGAGCACAGTTCTACTCTGACACACATGGGTTGCCATGAGTTGGACTCTACTCAATGGCAATTTTTTTTTTTTTTTTTTTAATGATATGCCAGACCCAGGATACAAATATGAATAAGGTAGGTAGGCACTGTCTTTCAGAAGCTCATAATCGAGTCGAAGAGATAGAAAATATAAAGAAAAAATAAAGTTATTTTTTAGAATTTACTGTTGTTGATTAATCAACTCACTAAACACATACAGCCCTTGATTCAAAAAGCAGACATTAGGACAGACCAAGGATTGAATACTGGAGCTTATTGGCTCATTCCTCCTTGTTATGGATTAAATTGTGTTCCCCAAAAATGTGTATCAACTTGGCTAAGTCATGATTCCCAGTATTGTGTAGTTATCCTCCATTTTGTGATCCAACGTAATTTTCCTATATGTTGTAAATCCTAACCTCTACGATGTTAATGAGGCAAGATTAGAGGCAGTTATGTTAATGAGGCAAGACACAATCTACAGGATTAGCTTGCATCTTCAGTCAATCTCTCCTGAGATATAAAAGAGAGAATCAAGCCAAGAAGAGAGGGACCTCCTACCACCAAGAAAGCACCAGAAGCGGAGTGTGTTGTTTGGACCTGGGGTCCCTTTAGACCAGGGGAAGATTGATGACAAGGACTTTCCCCCATAGCCAACAGAGAAAGCCTTCCCCTGGAGCTGGCGCCCTGATCTGGCCTCCTAAACTATGAGACAATAAACTTCTATTTGTTAAAGCCATCCACTTGTATTTCTGTTATAGCAGTACTAGATGACTAAGACACTCTCTTTTTCACTTGGTTATATTTTTCATCTAAAACTGTAAGAAGTTTCCAATATCATATTAAATAAACTCAGAAGCACAATGCTTTATGTGTCCATATTCAAACACTAAACTACAATTGAGTTGTTGGTTTTAAGTGAGTATCCACTGCAGAAACTGTCATCCAAATCAACCTATTAGCTAAGATAAAGAAAGGGTTTCTTTAAATCTACATGGTGATCTTCAGGTGTAAAACCTTAAGGTTTAAAATACTGGCATGTCTATATAGTTTAGCAGTGGAGCCCTGGAGGTGTAGTGGTTATGCGTTCAGCTATTAACCAGAAGGTCGGCAGTTCAAATCCACCAGCCGCCCCTTGGAAACCCTACTTAGCAGTTCTACTCTGCCCTATAGGGTCGCTATGAGTTGGAATCGACTTGACGGTAACAGGTTTTTTAAAAAAAAATTTACTATAGTTTAGTAGTCTAAGGGTTTTTGGAGATATAATCCTTTGTGAACAATTATTCATGACACCTTTCTTTAAAGATCTCATCAATATCCTCTGATGTAAAAGACAACCAGGATGTTAAAAGAAAAAAAAAAAAACCTTATGATTAATTTTAGTTATAATTTAAAGTTAATTTTATATGTCCATCAATTTTCTTGAATTCAGTCTCATCTTTTGCTTACAGGTTTTAAACAAATTAAAATGGTGTTTAAAAATAGTCATGCATAAAAAAAACTATTAAACATAATATAATACTCTGGTTGGCTAAACAGATAGTAAACCCATTGCCATTGAGTTGATTCTGACTCTTAGCAACCCTATAGGGCAGAGCAGAACTGCCCCATAGGGTTTCCAAGGAGCAGCTGGTGGATTCGAACCTTTTGGTTAGCAGCCAACCTCTTAACCACTGCACCACCAGGACTACAAACAGTAAGGTGACGATATTAAGGTCAAACACCATAAGCTAATTCACCAATCACTGCTGGACAATTAATCACATGGCTGCTCTGGTTTCTAAAGAGCCTTAAATCCAATGTACCAATGTGACCAGGAGTCTAGACTATAAAGAAAATATTTGTCCTATTATTTTCAGTCTTTCTGATTTCCTCTTTGCTATCACTGAAATTCATTTTATAACAAAATCATCTAAATGTCAGAATGACTTTGGGGACCTACTCAGTGAATCATTTTGTGTGATATTAAATAAGTCATTTAATCCTGTGGGCATCAATGAGGAGGTCAGACCCAGAGATATCTAAATTTTATTTTAAGAAAATTCAATGTCAATGACAGAGCTGAGTCTGTCTCTGCTTTTTAAATTATCTGCTAAGACT